CAAACTTTGTTACCGTATCCATAGCTAGTTCCGGCTTGAACTGTGACATTATAAGCAGTTGCAGGTTTCAAACCGTCAATTTGTAGACGCGTCCTATAAGGTTTTACGGTAGTCATAGCTATGTATTTAGAAAAATTCGAAAATACAGAATTCAACAATAATTACCATACTTGTCAAATCCCGAGCCGAAAAAAAATCATCTGGCCTGCTTGGCCCGGGTAGTTGATTTTTTAAAAACATTTCTATGAAGGTTTATTGAATAATATTCTATAGAAAATTTGAAATGATGCTCCGCATTTACGCTCAATAATCTCGGTTCCTATGAGAGATATCAATAAATTGTCAACAGATAAACTATTGGTTACCTTCTGATAAACATTTTTTTCAATTAAGATTGCTTTGATATATGAGAGAAACTGAAATAATTATGCTCAAAATGGATGGTTTGCGTGAACTTCTAGTCGAGGAAAAATGGTATATGTAATCTCGAACTAAATAAATTTTTGGAGAACTTGACAGAGATGAAAATCACTCACTTTTGGCTTTGTTTAGATATATTATCTGGAAAATATAATAACAACTTAAATAGAATCTCGTAATTCAAACTTCAAATTTTAGAATCGGCGATGGAAAAGTCTACGGTGGTTATGTCAATTATCCACTTCGATCTGAAAAAGACCCGAGATGGACCCTTATCCCTGTGACCCAAAGTGAAAACGAAATGATCGAACCACATCTCAAAACATGTGGATTCAATGAACAAGGATCTTTTAACTGCGATATGACACTGTCTGAAGTCTTGACTCATATCCCAATTGTTCTCGTCTCCGCTGGTTTCTTAATTCTCATCCTTGTTATATTCTTTATCTGCCTGGCGATTTTCTGCTTTTTGAGAAATTCGTGTCGTAAGTTTTCTGATAGAATCGTCAGATTTTTAATTCTGGAACTTCAGAGGAAAAGCCAGGAGTTGAAGAATCCGCTCTGATGTACTACCGAAGTGATTCGCCGAATACAATTTCCACGTGTCGAGAATATCGAAAAATTGAGAGAAGAGAGTTCAATGCATCAGATATGGAAGAGCGAATGCGGTTTCGAGATCATGAGAATTAAATAAATCTTTTTGAATACAAATTTTGATTAAAGGTGGGGAACATGAAAAAAATAATGTTCTCGAAATTCCGTTCAAAGATGCCCCTCGAGGAGTTGAACTTGTGAGGACGTTGATTGAGGGTGCGGCGCCGCTACCGACTGAGCCACGCGGGCAAAGAGAAAGCGCACTCCCGATTGCATACATAAATGCGAGAACGACAGCTGTACGCAGAGTGACATTAAGCGTTGTACACCGTGACGGTAGAATGCATACTCTAGCTACAAAAAAACTACGAAAAATCTCCTGTCCCCCCACCTTTAAATAAAGTATACAATAAGAGATATGAAAAAAACAAGCTATGTTTGATATGCAAGAGAAGTGGCAGGTTCACAAATAATAATGATAGCAAACCGTTTAAGAAAAGGAAGATTCCACTTTTAAATTAAAATTTAAATGATAACAGAGTTGTATGAAAATGTATTCCTTATTGCATATTCCTCATTGTTAAATGCACATCATGATACACAGGATTGTGCTCACTACCTGGTACATAATCTGTTTTAGATTCCTTTTTCAAAACTGACTTCAGTTATGACACACGCATAATTAGGGACTTTAGGTGGGTCTATATGTTCATAATCGTCTGGAGAAGCATTTGAACATATCAAACGAAGTTTCGAAGTTGTTGGAATATCCATTGCATCGATATTCTTGCTCATTTCATTTATTTTGTTGAAGAATTCCTCATTTGGCTGAAAGAGTTGATCAAAACTATAAAAGAAAAAATGATCACACCTCGTATTCATCAAGTTCTTCCATCGTGACACACAGTTTTGTAGCGAGATGGCTGATAAAATACTGTATCACTTTCAGGAATAGTTTATCTTCATAACGATAGGATAAATTCACCAGATTTTCAAATTCATAAGTTAGTTTCTCGTATGCGATTTGAATCGATTTTTGAAGATACATTATATCAGACTGAAACTTTTTAAATTTTATAATTAAGGAAGTATCAAGATAAGATAATCACCTTATTTTCTTCTTCGTCATTGTGTCTTCTTTGATATTCAAACTCCAATAAAATTGTCTTAACTCTCGCAACTGGCGTTCTCAAACTTTTCAGCCAATCTCCCCATTCCTGTTCCTGTTCTTCCCATCGAATTCTCAATTGAATACAATTCAAAAACATCTGAATCCTCATTGCTGATTCTTTCCTAAATTTTCTCATGTCTTCTTCTGCTTCCCGATTCAATCTCTCTCGTTTTTCTCGCATTTTTCGAAGCTCCTCCGCAAACTCCTCATTTTGTTCGTTCAGTTTTCTTTGGAAGCTTAAGTCCATCTGGTTTCTCCGATTCTCCCAATGAAGTGAATTGTTTGATGCTTGACTAGGAGTTCTGAAAACTATGTTGAGTTTGTATACATACTCGGAAACTAATCCCACAAAGTAGATCTTCTTCAATAAGTATATACCTGTGTATTCCGGGTGTTTCAACATTGCCTGCTTTTGGAAGTGGCTCTTTCCTTATTTGTGTTGACTTTGAATTTCGAGAATCCAAGGGAGAACTAACGATTGAGTTCAATTGACTTTTTTTGAATTGTCTCATGTCTTCTTCTGCTTCCCGATTCAATCTCTCTCGTTTTTCTCGCATTTTTCGAAGCTCCTCCGCAAATTTCTCATTTTGGGCGTTCAGTTCTCTTTGAAACTCTTCGTTCCTCTCATTTATTTTCGCGGAAAAACTCAAAGAAGCACTGGAGGCCTCACTTGATGATCTGGAATTATATTGGAATGAAATCTGAAGAGTAATATGTATTACCCATACTTGTAAATGGGACCCTGCTCTAGTTTCTTTTAGAATCAATATTTTCGGACCAACAAAGTTAGATATGATAGAACTTGACGAGTACTACACAATGATATTATTTGTAAAATTGTGTCCTGTCTATGAACAAATTTACAAATGAAACATTATGTATCAGCCAATTTACGGCTTATAACTTTGTTCATAGACAAGATACAGGTTTTTTTTTTCAAATTGTATCATTTTGCAGTACTCGTTGAGTTCTATCATATCTAATTTAGTTGGGCCAAAAATATTGATTCTAAAGGAAACTATGGGTTTGCGAAGTACCCAATTCACAATTACGTTATTACCTTTTAACTGGTACATCTCTTTCAATCTTTGGTGATTCTAAGAGGTCATACTCTCTTAAAGTAAGCGGTTGAGACGCAAGTTTTGATTTCTGGAATTCAATTTTGAACATTAATTCAGAAAAATTGTTAAATCCCCAACCTTTTTCTTTTGATCCTTCATGTTTCCTTCTTTCGCTAAATTTACCTGATGTGTATGTGCTTTCGCATCAGTGAGCTATAAAATACCAATATCCAAAGTTATAAAAGTTTTCTCTCACAGTATTATATTGATTCTTATTTTCTGTTTCCACAACGATATCAAGTTTTTCTTGATTTCTAGCCAACCTGATGACATTATCAAAATAGCTTGAATAGCTACTGTAGAAGTTTGACCATTTCTTAAAATTCTTTTTTGCTTTTAGAATCAAGGATATCACTCACTTTTGATTCAACACTTTTCATAAATTTTCGTTTGAATTCCTCAATTTCCTGGAATAATGTTTGAGGTTCGGGTTTAAAGGGGGACATTTCGGATTTTTTCGCAATAACATCAAGAAAATTTTTTGAAAAACTAACTCACTATTTTTCTGATATCCTGCTTTGGATTCAATCTTCTCCCAAGCGTTTTAAGTTTCTGAAAACATTAAACTAATTGGAAATTCTTTCAAAAAAAAAAAACTTACAGATCTCTTTTTCAACTGGAACACACCTGGTTCCCAGAATGACCTGAATAACAGAAGAAACGAATTTTTAATCAGTTTGCTTATTTCTTCTTCTTTTTTATCAGTTTTAGGAACCTCGATTGTTTCCAGACATTCCGAAATTTTGGCTAGAGTTTTTTCATTATTCTGATACCAATTTTTCATGGAATCCTAAAAATATACACCGTAACGCATCAAATACAAAAACAACTCACATTTTCGAGAGCATAATGAATGATTTCTGGAAATCCAATGTTAGTAGAAACTTTTTCATCTGGGAATTGAAGCTATTGCAATTTTGAAATACTGCAAAGCACTGGAGAGAGGTATTGGAGACTTGTAAACAACGAAAAACTGATAATGGAACTACATTTTCTCTTCCTCACTATAAAATGGAGGTCAGTTGTGTAGAAGAGGGTGTAGACATGGAAAGAGAAAACAAACAAAAGTGCTAATACTTTTTTTTGAAACCATCGGTTTCTAGTCAGAAAAATTCAAACTCAAGGGATTTTTTTCCATTAGAGCCTTTAGCAGGATCCAATCGAGAATACCGTAAACCATGTAATGGAAGGGTTCATTAACTTAATTGCCCGCGGTATGTCCGGGGTATCAGGTTCCTGTGATAAAATAGAAGAAAATCAACAAGAAATGTAACAAAATCGGTTTATTATGAACAAGTTAGAAAGAAACAACAAATAAAAGCTTAGAATTCAAGCAAACTCACTTGAAATCTTTAAAAGAGTCTCTCAAAAACTACGAGCCAAATCCAAGCTCGCAATCACTCAAAACTAAATTCAAATTGTGCGCGCGCCGAGCGGGATAGCGGAGTGTCGTTGCGTGGTTCGAGGGAACCTTTAGAAGGGGTTGGAGGGTAGATGCACCAGGCAACTACTTTTAACTTTGAGCCCATATATCTCGGTTCCTGTTGAAGATATCTAAAATTGATGGATTATTTATCATAATATTATGAGTGTTTTGTTAGTTTACATAATTTTGATATCTGGCATAGGAGTCGAGATAATTGAGCTCAAACAGAACAGTGGGCGAGAGGCCCTTCTATTAAAGGTTCCACGGTAGTAGAAGTTTTGAGCTCATCAATTTTTTTTTAACAATTTCTTTCCAAATTTTTTGATTTTCAAGTTATAACCACTTTCTTGACACTTGCATTGAAATTTAGCTCAAACGGACCAAAACCGGATTAAAAATGGACCAAGTAGACCTTTGTTTTTTGTTAGTTTATAATTGAGTCAATATGGTTTTTTGGTAGTTTATAATTGAGTCAATATGGTTTCAGGATTATTTTTTAAATCATTTAGGCTTTTATAAAACGATTTGGACTGTGTCACAGCCAAACGAACGAACAAGAACTAACAGATCCAAGGCGGACCAAAAACGGATTAGAAATTTAAGATCATTTAGCCCAATTTCTTGCTGTGTTTCAGTCTATTCAATTCAGCAAACTTGAACGTTTTTTGTAATTTATTTTCAAATGTTTTGCAAAGCTTTGGCTCAGAAGCTATCACAATAATTCTAGTAAACCAGGTTCACAAATAGCTTATTGATTATCTGCTTTTATTGTTCGAAAAACGCGAAGCATCCAAATTTTAACAATTAGCAAGAATGTTGACAACCTTCTCTTTTTATCATTCTCCTCCGGTTTCTTCCTGTGCCTTCCACAATCATTCGCATCATATTTCGAAACTTTGCTAGTTCATCGTCTTCAAAAATGTATGTATATCAAAACATTTCAAAAAAAAACGGACTCGTCGCCCTATGAACTCGTCACCCTATGAACTCGTCGCCCTATGAACTCGTCGCCCTATGAACTCGTCGCCCTATGAACTCGTCGCCCTATGAACTCGTCGCCCTATGAATCTCGTCGCCCTATGAATCTCGTCGCCCTATGAACTCGTCGCCCTATGAACTCGTCGCCCTATGAACTCGTCGCCCTATGAACTCGTCGCCCTATGAACTCGTCGCCCTATGAACTCGTCGCCCTATGAATCTCGTCGCCCTATGAATCTCGTCGCCCTATGAACTCGTCGCCCTATGAACTCGTCGCCCTATGAACTCGTCGCCCTATGAACTCGTCGCCCTATGAACTTAATTATTGTTCAGCCCTACTCCTCTGACTATTTTTCTTCAATTGTTCCCCTGTGGAACGCCATCACTTCCCAAGTTACCCGATTTCTCCTACCTTCCGAGTTTGAATCCTTAATTTCTTCCAGTATTACCCGTTATTGATATATTTGCTCCCTATTTTTCCTTTTCTACCGGTTCCATCTTTACTGTGTCAAATATCTAAATTATCCCGTTTCCCCTCCCCTACTCAGATCGGCCTCGTGAGGGGCATTTTTTCTGAGTCTTTCATGTCCTGCCCTCTAATGTTTTAATACACCTGGTCAATAAATTAAATTAAATTTCCATTTCCAGGAATGTTCCTTGGCGTGTGCAAGAAACTGTTCTGTTGCTGTAGTCGTTGCTGCAACTGCTGTGGAGAAAATGTATCCGGAGACAGAGATGGTTTAATAAAGAATGGAGAGGAAATGCAAGACTGCTCTACCTCTAATAGAAATGAATCTGGTCATGATGAATCGGAAAGAAATGCATCTGGCAATAAAGAAGTTTATGATCTCAACAAAAAGATTGAGGAGAAACAAAACCGTTCGAAGAGGAGCAGCAAAATGAGAATAAGGCTTTCGAGACAGAAATGGAAGAAAAGCGGCGGAACAGAGAACTTTTGGATGTATGTATCTTATCCAATTATTTTATTTGAAGTTCATTGCTAAAAAATGATTAGATTAAATCCAAATAAGCGGAGTTTCAAAATATAATTTTCAGGAAGAAAATGACATTCGGATGCGTTCAAGTGGACCAAGAATAGCCGAAGTTAAAATAATAGTTCAAGAAAACTCGATTGTTTTGTTTGTTCTGAGCTATGCACACAAGAAAAATGATGGATTGTTGACCATACTTAACAAAATGAAAATTTGATGAGGAACTTTGTTGACCGAATCTGTATATTTTAGAGTGAGCAAGTGTGAATTATTTCTGTTTTCATTAACGATTTTCTCTTCTTATGAATGGTTCGAACACTCGTACATTTATAGTTTTGTCATGTCTTTTTATTCGGCTTCAACCGATTTTTACCTTTTCCATTTATTGTTCTATTATTAATTCATCATTTAGTGTATGGGATCAAAAAACAGCGTACCTGCTAAGCCTTCAATAGTTACAGAGTGTGAAAAAGCGTTGGGAGAAATACTACAGCAAAAAGACAACACTGAACTAACTTCTTGTAATCTTACTGAAGGTATGTTTTCATAATAACAATAAAAAAACAAATCATTTCAGAGAAAACCGCTGATCAGGAACAAATTGAAGAATTCGAAGCACATCTTCAGTGAGATATCATTTTTTAAAAATATGAACCGAACTTTACAGTTTCAGAAAGATTGTCGCAGAAGATTGAGGAAGATGGGTAGTCGACTATCCGTATATTATGGATCCGATGTTCCCGATTTTACGGATGACAAGACAGTTTTGAACAATTTAAAACTAATGAATTTGACAGCTAACCTAACGGGAAACCGTGGCAAATCAGAAGGTATGTGAAAAATAAAGGAAAGGTCTGTCTCATAATCGAATTCTTAAAGAACAGCACATAGAGACAAAACAAAATCCAGGAGTCGGCCAAGAGGGTGCATCTGGCAATAAAGAAGTTTATGATCTCAACAAAAAGATTGAGGAGAGACAAAAACCGTTCGAAGAAGAGCAGCAAAATGAGAATAAGGCTTTCGAGACAGAAATGGAAGAAAAGCGGCGGAACAGAGAACTTTTGGATGTATGTATCTTATCCAATTATTTTATTTGAAGTTCATTGCTAAAAAAATAGACTGTAAAACCTGTATTTGCAGTGCCCCTCTTATTGAAATGTCCTTCCAAACACCACACGAAAAATAGAAGGTCCCACTTTTCTAATACAGGTTTTACGATAATTGAATCAAAATAAGCCGCGTTTCAAAAAAAAATTTTCAGAAAGAAAATGACATTCGGATGCGTCCAAGTGGACCAAGAAGAGCCAAAGTCGAAAGAATAGTTCGAGAAAACCCGATTGTTTTGTTTGTTCTAAGCTATGCTCACAAGGAAAATGATTTTATACTGACTGTATTTAACAAAATGAAAAGAGATTTCAAAGCGATTTATGTAGAAGAAGACGATCAAATTCGACTTGGAGTCAAAGTATGTTTGAACTGAAAGTATTCTAAATTGAACTTCATTTTAGGAATACACCGATAAAGAGCGATTTCCCCTACTTTTCATCAATGGACAACTACAAGACATTAATGATTTTAAACAAGGAACTTCAAATAAGTTATAAATTTGTCAAGATGATCCTGAAAGCTTCTCAAAAATCCATGAATTCAAATAAGCTGAAAAATTATGACGTTCAATTTAGGAACATAAATAGCAAGTATTTCTCTTCAACTTTTGTATTCTTCTCAGTTGGTTGAAGTTTCAGAGTAAAACTTCTGAATTTTCAAAATGTTCTCTGTCACCTTTTTTCCAAGTAGAACAGACCTCCAAATTTTTCTTCTACCCTTTTTTGTAATAGAAAAAATATTTTCTCAAAAAGTCAAAATGTTATCTATCTTTCCCATTCTTTTTTCTTCCGTTTCTATCATTTTCCCATTGAACCGTTTTCTTCTTCTTTTCTCTACTCCTTTTTCTGTGAAGAAGCAAGTGATGAGCAATCTTGTTTACGATTAAACAGTTCACTTCTCGATTCTATTCAATTTTACAGTGAGGAAGGGTATCAAACCACATTCTGTCTATTTTGATTTTCTTTTTTCATTCTACCCTTTTTTATTACTTCTAATGAAAAACTTTATAATCGCTCAAGACACACAACAAGAATTCCTGGACGCTATAGAAAATGTGAGCAATTTTCTGTATTATATTTTCTCAATTTTCTAAAACCAATGAGTTTCAAAGAGGTCTTGAAAAGTGGTGCAAAGAAAAACAACATAGTTTAAACGTCATTGATAACTCTCTCAAAAAGATTACCATTCCAAGAAGCAACAGAGAAAAAGAGCAAACTTGTGAATTCATTTGTAAATCATTTTGGACGTTATTCACTATTAACTGGGAATCTACCCAACTGAACCCAGATAGCGTAAGTTTTCGAAACTGTGAAAATATTTTATTGCTTTCTTTTAGATAGAAGGGAAGTTCCTTCTCAAACTCAAAGCATCTTATAAATCAAATGTAAGAAACAACTATGGTAAATGCTCTGATAGAAGACACCCCTATCCGAGCACTTTGAAGTCAATTATCTCGGTTCCTGCAGAAGAGATCGAAAATTTGTCAACTGGCAAATCATTTATCATAAATAGACCAATATTTTATCAGTTGACAAGTTTTGAATATCTTCAGAAGGTACCGAGATAATTAAGAAAGCATTTACGGTATGAGAAACTTTTTTAAAAGTTTGCTGAACTTACAGCAATGGGATCAGTTTTACGCTTCCTATGAAGAGTACTTTGACAGTCTTATTCATTCCATGAGAACCCAGAAAAAGTTGGATATTCGAATTCAAGATTTGGACGGAAGTTTGTGGAAGACGGTTAGTAGCCTGTTTTAAGCTTTCAAAATGAAGAATTTTTCAGTTCCATGATTGCAAAATGTCGTCTAATGAAATAAGCCGCTTGAAAACTGATATGGAACTCATGGAATCTGGGATAGATTCGTGGGAATGTGATCCAAAAGGGAGAAACCATTCGGGTGACAACAAAACCAGTTTATTTTGTTGTTTAAAAAGCAAAATACTGGAATCGACTAAAAATAAACCAAAGAAAATTGTCGTATGTTTCCTTATCAATTTTCTCTGACCAAACGGTATGAACAAATTTCAGAACACTCAACCTACGTACCAAAACTCTCCAGGAGCAAATTCTAGCTCAAGAAGAAATATGAAATCTAAAAAATTACCAGATGAAATTCGAGTGGCATCTGGAGGGCAGGCAAGGATGAATGGAGAATTCCAGAACGAAATTCAAAATTATGAAAGTCAATTGAACTCAATCGTTAGTTCTCCCTTGGATTCTCGAAATTCAAAGTCAACACAAATAAGGAAAGAGCCACTTCCAAAAGCAGGCAATGTTGAAACACCCGGAATACACAGGTATATACTTATTGAAGAAGATCTACTTTGTGGGATTAGTTTTCGAGTATGTATACAAACTCAACATAGTTTTCAGAACTCCTAGTCAAGCATCAAACAATTCACTTCATTGGGAGAATCGGAGAAACCAGATGGACTTAAGCTTCCAAAGAAAACTGAACGAACAAAATGAGAAGTTTGCTGAGGAACTTCGGAAAATACGAGAAAATCGAGAGAGATTGAATCGGGAAGCAGAAGAAGACATGAGACAATTTAGGAAAGAATCAGCAATAAGGATTCAGATGTTTTTAAATTGTATTCAATTGAGAATTCGGTGGGAAGAACAGGAACACGAATGGGGAGATTGGCTGAAACGAGTGAGAGCTACTGTTGTGAAAGTTAAAACAACTCTTCTCGAATTCGAGTTTGATAGAAGGCGTAACGATGAAGATGATAACAAGGTGAGTAATCAAAGTTGAGCAATTTAGAACTAAAATTTTCAGTCAGAAGCGATTTACCTACAAAGTTGTGTCCGTAATGCCTATGAGAAAATGAGATGTGAATTTGGAAACCTGGTATTGCTGTCTGATCGATATGAAAACAAATTATTTCTGAAAGTGATTCAAAAACGGATCAGCAATGTGGCAACAAAACTTTGCATTCTAGCTGAGGAGTTAGAAGAGTTTCAGGTAGAATGCTTTCCGATATTTCTCTAATCAAAAATATTCTTTTTTTCAGAATGACCCATCTTTATTTTCAAGACTTCATAACATTTCTTCTCAAATTGACCCAATTGAAATACCAACCACTTCAGAACTTCGGAAAATTTGTGAAAATGCTTCTCCAAGTGATTACAATGTTATCTCTCCACCGAGGCAACCCAAATCATATTGTGTTATAACTGAAATCTGAATGTAAAAATGAAATTTCAAAGAAAGAAAAAAGAACTGGAATTCTGAAAGTCCTATCGTTTTCGTAATTCCCATTTTATCATATTTATCCCAAACAATTTTTTTCCTCTCATTCACTATAATAGTATCTGTTCTCTAGTTGCTAACGTTGTAGCTGCGTTTGTTACTGTAATAGTGTTGTAAGCCTGTTTTGGACCGTGTAAAAATTTTATTACGTTGAGAAGAAGTTTCAAGTTTTACATGTTCTTTCTAGCATATTCGTAGGGCATGAGAGTTGTTAATTTGAAGCTGAAAATCCTTATTCACAAGATTCTTGATGGTTGTTTTCTGCAACGTTGAGTCTTCACTTTTCGTTGTTCGGTTTCCATCTGTAAAACAGCAAATTGACTAGAAAAACCTAAAATACTGTTTACCCGCACGGAGCGTCGGTAGTTTTGAATTACACTAAGATTTCTTGGAAATTCCTCATTCTGAAGTTTCAACTGTTCAGCAAGTGTTCATTCCCCTTCTTCTTCACTATCGGGTGATGGTTCGAGGCAATCCTGGAATAGGTAGCGATTTTGATAAAGAAAGTTTAGATAGCATACAGATAGGAGTTCGGTAGAATGTTCAGCGCTTTCTATGACGACGTCTTGTTCATCTGCTCTTGGAATTTCGAATTCTTCATTTGCGGATATCTGTAATCTAACAGTAGCCAACTGAAATTAGTTTTTTCTTACCGATTCCAGATACCGATTTATGTAGTCTTCTTCTTTTTGTTCTTCTTATTTTTCTTCGTAATCGTCGTCATCAAAATCGTCAATAAGTGAAGTTGGCTCATCCTTGTTAGCCGCTACACATTCAACTGTCCCACTCATCATCTCCTTCATATATACCAAAAATTCTTCATCTTCCTCATCTTCCTAAAAGGTTAAGATATGAAAAACTGAAAATGTATTTTCAGAGCACACATCAAGCATAAGCCGAACTTCAATTTCAAAAGGATCTTCTTCTTGGTCGTCTGAGGTTATAATGTCTTCTGGAGGGTTTTCTAAACCGACTTCTAAGTTGAGAGCGTCCTTGGAACTCTGACCACCAATTGAAGGAAATTTGGCTCCTTGGTTCACACCTCTAGATTTTTCAATCTTCTATAAATATTCTAACCATTTTTCAAATCTACAACATGTTCCACCTCCATTAAATCTATTTTTTGGTCATTTAGTAAAGCAATGATGAAATTTTCCTCATCGCTATCTATTGTTGACACGGTGTCCGATGGATCGTATCGACCATTTTCTCTATTCTGAAAAGAACCACAGTTTGTTTAGAAATACTTTTAAAACAACCGTATGTCCTCAAATAGAAAGCCAACCAAAGCAACTTTGAGCTCAATTATCTCGGTTCTTTCAGCATATATCAAAAAATCTCAACTGATTAATTATTTCTCATAATATCACCAACATTCTATCAGTTGATAAATGCTTGATATCTCGCATAGGAATTGAGATAATTGAACTCACAGTTGGCGCTTTGAGTAAGTCAAAAAGAACAAACCTGCAGTTTAGCAACCAATGGAATTTTTTTTATTTGCCTTCTAGCAAATGAAACTATAGAAGAAGGTTCTTCATGTAAAGATATATGGTTTTCCTTGCTTCGAGCATCTTTGAACTGACAAGGGAGTTACTTGAGGGATCAGGTTTAACTTTTTTGAAATTTTGGGAGCAGATAGAAGAGCTTATGAGGATTCCAAATCTGTTAAAAAATCAGCAAAATGCTCACGTGAGCTGAGTTATGACCTAGAAAAGTTTCCCTATGATTAAGCAATTTCTCGTGAAATTTTTTTCACGGAATAGTGTATTTCTTTTAAAACAATAGATTTCAATCAGCAGTGTGGTAAAGTGGTAAAATGGCAAGTTCAGAGGAGGAAGGTTGTAGGTTCGATTCTCCCGATCCGAAAAATTTTGCAAAATTTTTTTATTTTGAGCTGCCATAACTGGCTCTGGAATAAAATTTACGCAATTTAAACATGTTTTTCGGGAGTTTCTCGTTATGAATAGGCATTTTCCAGAATAAAAACAGACATTTAATTTTTGAAAAAGTTCACAAATATGCTCATGGGTTCATCGAAGATTTTTCAATTTTTTTTTGTTTTTTTTTTAAATTGAAAAAAACAGTTGAGGATTCTAAACACATCGGTGGCATTCGATGACAAACTGCTGGAAACATAACATATGTGAAGACCATTATCATTCCGCCTGGAGCGACAGGACAAATCCAGCCACTGGACATTGGCATATTCCGTCAATTCAAGAAGTTCATGAAGAACTTGACGGAATATGCGCAAAGAAAAGAGAAGGACTTTAAGCCACATCAACGAGATTCTATCATCAAAGTTTCTGAAGTTTCTGAAAACGTCCCTCATTTTTCGATTGCAGATGCTGAGCCTAGCATATTGACAGATGTGCTCTCCCATCTTCCAAGAATGGAGACAGTATGCCTGGTATTCTGGCGGTTATGTGGACAGTTGCGCTCCGAAATGTGACAG